TGGCATTTTAAGTTCTGGGGTACATGTGAAGAGCATGCAGGATTGTTGCATAGGAACACACATGGCAATGTGATTTGCTGTCTCCAAAACCCTGTCACCTACATCTGGAATTTCTCCCCATGTTATTGCTCCCCAACTCCCTACCCACACTATGTCTCTCCCCTAGTGCTCCACCACAGACCTCAGTGTGTGATACTCCCCTCCCTGTATCCATGTGTTCTCATTGTTCAACACCCACCTATGAGTGAGAACATGCAGTGTTTGATTTTCCATTCTTGTGTCAGTTTGCTGAGAATGATGGTTTTCAGGTTCATCTATTTCCCTACAAAGGACATGAGCTCATCGTTTTTTATGGCTACATGTTATGCCATGGTGTATGTGTGCCACATTTTTCCTGTCCAGTCTATCACCAATGGGCATTTGGGTTGGTTCCAGGTCTTTGCTATTGTAAACAGTGCTGCAATGAACATTCGTGTGCATCTGCCCTTATAATAGAACGATTTGCAATACTCTGGATATACAGCCAGTAACAGAATTGCTGAGTCAAATGAAATTTCTATTTCTAGGTCCTTGTGGAATCATCACACTCTCTTCCACAATGGTGGAACTAGTTTACACTCCCACCAATAGTGTAAAACTGTTCCTATTTCTCCACATCCTCTCCAGCATCTGTTGCCTCCAGATTTTTTAATGATCGTCATTCTAACTAGCATGAGATGGTATCTCAATGTAGTTTTGATTTGCATTTTTCTAATGCCCTGTGATGATGAGCATTTTTTCATATGTTTGTTGGTCTCATGTATGTCTTCTTTTGTGAAGTGTCTGTTCATATCCATTGCAGACTTTTGGAAGGGCTTGTTTGTTTTTTTCTTGTAAATCTGTTTTAGCTCTTTGTAGATTCTGGTTATAAGTCCTTTGTCAGATGGGTAGATTGCAAAAAACTTTCCCATTCTGTTGCTTGCCAGTTCTTTAATGATAGTTTTTTTTTTGCTGTGCAGAAGTTCTGGAGTTTGATTAGGTCCCATTTGCCTATTTTGGCTTTTGCTGCCAATGCTTTTGGTGCTTTAGTCATGAAGCCTGTGTCCTGAATAGTTTTGCATAGGTCGTCTTTTAGGATTTTTGTGATAGGTCTTATGTTTAAGTCTCTAATCATTCTGGAGTTAATTTTAGTGTAAGGTGTCAGGAAAGGGTCCAATTTCTGCTTTCTGCACATGGCTAGCCAGTTTTCCCAACACCATTTATTAAACAGGGAATCCTTTCCCCGTTGCTTGTTTTTGTGAAGTTTGTCAAAGATCAGATGGTTGTAGATGTGTGGCGTTGCCTCTGAAGCCTCTGTTCTGTTTATATCTTTGTTTTGGTCCCAGAACCACACTGTTTTGATGACTGTACCCATATACTATAATATGAAGTCAGGTAGTGTGATGCCTCCAGCTTTGTTCTTTTTGCTTAGAAATGACATGACTGTGTGGGCTCTCTTTTGGTTCCATATGAAGCAGAAGGTGGTTTTTTCCAGTTCTGTGAAAAAAGTCATTGGTAGCTAGATGCAGATAGTGTTAAATCTATAAATTGCATTGGGCAGTATGGACATTTTTACAACATTGATTCTTGCTAACCATGAGCATGGAATGTTTCTCCATCTGTGTCCTCCCATTTTGTTGAGCAGTCGTTTGTAGTTCTCCTTAAAGAGGTCCTTTACATTCTTTGTCAGTTGCAGTCCTAGGTATTTTATTCTCTTTGTAACAATTGTGAATGGCAGTTCATTCTTGATTTGGCTCCCTTTGAGTCTGCTATTGCTGTATAGGAATGCCTGTGATTTTTGCACATGGATTTTGTATCCTGAGACTCTGTTGAAGTTGTTTATCAGTTTAAGGAGATTCTGGACTGAGACAATAGGATATTCTAAATACACAATTATGTCATCTGCAAATAGAGACAATTTGATTCCTCCTTTCCTAATTGATTACACTATTTGTTTTTCCTGCCAGATTTCTCTGGCTAGAAGTTCAATACTATATTGAATAGGAGTGGTGAGAGAGGGCATCCTTGTCTAGTGCCAGATTTCAAAGGGAATGCTTCCAGTTTTTGCCCATTCAGTATATTTGCTGTTGGCTTGTCATAAATAGCTTTTATTATTTTGAGATACATTCTGTCGATACCTAGTTTATTGAGGGTTTTTAGCATGAAGGGCTGTCAAATTTTGTCAAAGGCCTTCTCTGCATCCATTGAAATAATCATGCAGTTTTTGTTGTTGGTTCTGTTTATGTGGTGAATTACGTTTATAGACTTGGGTATGTTGAACCAACCTTGCATCCCTGGGAGGAAGCCTACTTGATCGTGATGGATAATCTTTTTGATGTGCTGCTGCAATCAGTTTTCCAGTATTTTGTTGAAGATTTTTTTATCTATGTTCATCATGGATATTGGCCTGAAGTTTTCTTTTTTGGTTGAGTCTCTGCCTGGTTTTGGTATCAGGATGATATTGGTCTCATAAAATGATTTGGAAAGGATTTCCTCTTTCTGGATTGTTTGGAATAGTTTCAGAAGGAATGGTACCAGCTCCTCTTTGTATGTCTGGTAGAATTTGGCTGTGTACCCACCTGGACCTGGGTTTTTTTGTTGGTAGGCTATTAGTTGCTGTCTCAACTTCTGCCCTTGTTATTGGTCTATTCAGGGTTTCAACTTCTTCCTAGTTTAGCCTTGGGAGGATGCAAGTGTGCAGGAATTTATCAATTTCTTCCAGGTTTCCTGGTTTATGTGCATTGAGTTGTTTGCAGTAATCTCTGATGGTGGTTTATATTTTTGTGGTATCTGTGGTGATATCTCCTTTATTGTTTTTTATTACATCTATTTGATTATTCTCTTATTTCTTTTTTATTAATCTGACTAGTGGTCTGTCTATTTTGTTGATCTTTTCAAAAAACCAGCTCCTGGATTTATTGATTTTTTAAAGCATTTTTTGTGTGTCTGTCTCCTTCAGTTCCACTCTGAACTTAGTTATTTATTGTCTTCTGCTAGGTTTTGAGGTTTTTCTTATATTGCTCCTCTAGCTCTTTCAATTTTTATGATAGGGTGTCAATTTTAGACATTTCCTTGCTTCTCATGTGGGCATTTATTGCTATAATTTTTTCTCTAGACACTGCTTTAAGTGTGTCCCAGAGGTTCTAGTATTTTGTGTCTTTGTTCTCATTGGTTTCAAAGAACATCTTTATTTCTGCCGTCATTTCATTGTTTATCCAGTCAACATTCAAGAGCCATTTGTTCAGTTTCCATGACATTGTGTGGTTCTGAGTTAGTTTCTGAATTCTGAGTTCTCCCTTGATTGCACTGTGTTCTGAGAAACTGTTTGTTATAATTTCTGTTCTTTTGCAATTGCAGAGGAGTGATTTACTTCTAATTAGGTGGTCAATTTTAGTGTACATGTGATGTGGTGCTGAGAAAAATGTATGTTCTGTGGATTTGGGGTGGAGAGTTCTGTAAATGTCTATTAGGTTTGCTTGGTCCAGATCTGAGTTCAAGTCTTGGATATCCTTATTAGTTTTCTGTCTCAATGATTTGTCTAATATTGACAATAGGGTGTTAAAGTCTTCCACTATTATGGTGTGGGAGTCTAAGTCTCTTTGTAGGTCATCAAGAACTTTCTTTATGTATCTGAATGCTCCTGTATTGGGTGCATATATATTTCGAATCATTACCTCTTCTTATTGCATTGATCCTTTTAGCATTATATAATGTTCTTTTTATCTATTTTGATATTTATTAGTTTAAAATCTATTTTATCAAAGACTAGGATTGCAACCCCTGCTTTTTTTTTTCCTCTCCATTTGCTTGGTAAATCTTTCTCCCTCCCTTTATTTTGAGCCTATGCTTATCCTTGCATGTGAGATGGGTTTCCTGGATACAGCACGCTGATGGATTTTGATTCTTTAACCAAATTGCCAGCCTTTGTCTTTTGATTGGGGCATTTAGCCCATATACATTTAGGGTTAATATTGTTATGTGTGGCTCCCACTGAGGCGGCCACTGCTGCTCGTCCTCCGTTCCCGGGTGGAGGGTCCGGCCGTGCCCAGCTCTCCGGCGGCGATGGTGGACCCCGGCAAGCAGGACATCACGACCATCTTCAGGCGCCTCCGTTCGGTGCCCACTAACAAGAGGCCATTTTCTCCCTAGAACGTTTCCGGCTTGGGGAGTTTGCTGGAGGCGTTTGGGGTGACACAGGGGGCTTAGGTGACAGTCGGGTTGGAGAGAAACCTGCAGAGTGCAAAGGGCTGTTGTGTAGGCGTGGACTCTCCCCCACGCCTGTGACCCGAGTTCTGTCCCCACTGCCACAGCCGGCGGGAACAGCTGTCACTGAGCAGGTCCTGAGCCTCGACATGCTGGCGTAGAAAGTTCCCGAGTGTTACAGAGCAGGTGTGTTTTGATTGTGGTGCCAAAAATCCCAGCTGGGCAAGTATAACCTATGGAGTGTTCCTTTGCATTGATTGCTCAGGGTCCCACCGGTCCCTTGGTGTTCACTTGAGTTTTATTCGATCTACAGAGTTGGATTCTAACTGGTCATGGTTTCAGTTGCTATGCATGCAAGTTGGAGGAAACACCAATGCATCTTCCTTTTTTCATCAACATGGGTGTGCCACCAATGACACCAATGCCAAGTACAACAGTCGCACTGCTCAGCTCTATAGGGAGAAAATCAGATCACTCGCTTCCCAAGCAACACAGAAGCACGGCACTGACCTGTGGCTTGAGAGTTGTGTGGTTCCACCTTCGTCCCCTCCACCAAAGGAGGAAGATTTTTTTGCCTCTCATGTTTCTCCTGAGGCGAGTGACACAGCATGGGCATCAGCAATAACAGAACCAGCTTCTTTGACATCAAGGCCTGTGGAAGCCACTTCAGAAAATAATGAAGAGATGGGTCCTCGCCATGTTGGCCAGGCTGGTCTTGGACTCCTGACATCAAGTGATCCATCTGCCTTGGCCTCCCAAAGTGCTGGGATTACAGGTGGACAAGAACAAGGACCAAGTGTGGAAGGTCTTAATGTACAAACAAAGTCTATTTTAGAGGTTTCCTCTATCATAAAGAAGAAACCAAATCAATCTAAAAAAAGGCCTTGGGGCCAAAAAAGGAAGTTTGGGAGCTCAGAAACTGGCAAATACATGCTTTAATGAAATTGAAAAACAAGCTCAAGCTGTGGATAAAATGAAGCAGCAGGAAGACCTGGCCAAGGCAGCACCTAAAGAAGAATCAATTGTTTCATCACTACGGTTAGCCTATAAGGATCCTGAAATTCAGATGAAGAAAGACAAAAAGATGAACATGAGTGGCAAAACACACGTTGACTCAGACAGACTTGGCATGGGGTTTGGAAACTGCAGAGGTGGTATTTCACATTCAGTGGCTTCAGATATGCAGACCATAGAACAAGAATCACTCATCGTGGCAAAACCAAAAAAAAAGTATAATGATGACAGTGATTATTCATATTTTACTTCCAGCTCAAGGTACTTTGATGAACCAGTGGAGTTAAGGAGCAGTTCTTTCTCTAGCTTGGATGACAATTCAGATTCCTACTGGAAAAAAGATCCAGCAAAGATACTGAAACCATTCTGAAGACCACAGGCTATTCAGAGAGATCTACTGCTCGCTGCAAGCCAGATTATGAGCCAGGTGAAAATACAGATGAGGCCCAGAAGAAGTTTGGGAATGTCAAGGCCATTTCATCAGATATGTACTTTGGAAGACAAGCCCAGGCTGATTATAAGACGAGGGCCCGCCTTGAGAGACTCTCAGCAAGTTCCTCCATAAGCTCGGTTGATCTGTTCGAGGAGCAGAGGAAGCAGGCAGCAGGGAACTGCAGCCTCTCCAACGTGCTGCCCAACATCCCCGACATGGCGCAGTTCAAGCAGGGAGTGAGGTCCGTCGCTGGGAAGCTCTCCATCTTTGTTAACGGAGTTATGACTTCCATTCAGGATCACTACGATTCTTAATACTGAGGTCATGATGTGTATTTCCCGGAGAAACTCCCCTTTAAATGAACCAGTGACCACATCACAGGTGGCGATGAAGACCAGATTGTTTTGCTACTTTTTCGTATGGTATATGATTCTGATTCTTAGTATTCCTTTCGAGAAATTCTGTGTTCTGATGTAGTAGGAGCTTCACTGTGATTTCTGTTTCACGTTACTTCCCACCATGCCCTCCTTTTGGCATCTCTGAGTATATCCTTGCTTTATTTTCTTGGAACCTTTGGTTTCAACACTGAGGGCCTGGAGACATCGGCTCCTCCTGCTCCATGAACCAGGAGCCTTCATCCGGAAGAGGAGGAGAGGTGTCCATGCCACACATGGGCTCAGGGCTGCCAGAATCAGCAGATGTGGGACGGGCTTACAGACACAGCATTCACACACGCATGCTTCCTCCAGAAGGGAGCGAGAGGCCAGAACACAAGGCCAAACGTGACTGGCATCTTATGGACAGATTGCTTCTTTTCTGTTTCTACATGTTAAGATGACTTCCAAATAATATTTAAATTCATCTCTTTGTAAATTGTTTATTTTATATGCTCCCTGTTTAATAAATGGTGTTGGGAAAACTGGCTAGCCATGTGCAGAAAGCAGAAACAGGACCCCTTCCTGACACCTTACACCAAAATTAACTCCGATGGATTAAAGACTTAAGCATCAGACCTAACACCATGATCTATAAATTTAAAAATATTTTTCAGTGAGTGCTTTTAACAAACGTAAGCTTCCACATTGCCAAGGGAATTGATGTTACCTTGTGACAAGGTGTTTGCTGTTTGAATTGATGAGAGCTGTAAGATGAGGACTCCCTAAGGGTATTTATAAACCGACGTGGTATACGGAATTAAAATGGAATGAGGTAAGAAGACAGAGCTACAGAAAATAGTGCAGCCTATGGCAGAATAGTCGTTGTAATTGGGTACTTTTGTGAATAGTTTTAAACCTTGCTTTTCAAAGATTACAGAATCCGTATAAATGAATAAAGAAAAATAATTTAGCTGTGTTTTAGACAGCATTAGAATATATTGTTCAGCACAGTAAAATATATTTGAAATTTGATAAGCCAAACGTGGTTTTGATTGAATATTTTGTGAATCTTTCTTAAAAGCTCAAATTTGTAGACTTCTAAGTATAATAAACACTTGCAGCAGAAAAAAAAAGATATTGTTATGTGTGAATTTGATCCTGCCATTTTGATGCTAGCTGGTTGTTTTGCCCATTAGTTGATACAGTTTCTTCATTGTGTCGATGCTCTTTACCATTTGGTATGTCTTAGGAGTGGTTGGTACTGGTTGTTCCTTTCTATATTTAGTGCTTCTTTCAGGAGCTCTTGTAAAGCAGGCCTGGTGGTGATGAAATCTCTGAGCAATTGCTTTTTCATAAAGGATTTTATCTCTCCTTGGCTTATGAAGCTTAATTTCACTGGTAATGAAATTCTAGATTGAAAGTTTTTTTCTTTAAGGATGTTGAATATTGGTCCCCTCCCCCCCCCCATTCAGGCTTGTAGTGTTTCTGCCAAGAGATCCATTGTGAGTATGATGGGCTTCACTTTCTGGGTAACCTGGCCCTTCTCTCTGGCTGTCCTTAGCACTTTCTTCTTTCATTTCAACACTGGTGAATCTGATGATTATATGCCTTGGGGTTGCTCTTCTTGAGGAATATCTTTGTGGTGTTCTTTGTAATTCCTGGACTTGAATATTGGCCCACCTTGCTAGGTTGGGGAGTAAGTTTTCCTGGATTATATCCTGAAGAGTGTTTTCCAGTTTGGATTCATTCTCTACGTCATGTTCAGGTACACTCCTGAAACACAGATTAGGTATTTTCACATAATCCCGTGTATCCTGGAGGTTTTGTTCATTTGTTTTTACTCTTTTTTCTCTAATCTAGCTTTCTCATTTTATTTTATTGAGTTGATCTTCAATATCTGATATCTTTTCTTCTGCTTGATCAAGTCCACTATTGAAACTTGTGTATGCTTCACGAAGTTCTCATGTTATGTTTTTCAGCTCCATCAATTCATTTATATTCCTTGCTAAGCTGTTTATTCTAGTTAGCATTTTGTCAAACCTTTTTTCAGGTTCTTAGTTTCTTTGTATTGGGTTAGAACATGATCTTTTAGCAAAGAGAAGTTTGTTGTTACTCACTTTCTGAAGCCTGTTTCTGTCAATTTATCAGACTCATTCTTCATCCAGTCTTGTTTTCTTGCTGGTGAGGAGTTGTGATCCCTTGTAGGAGAGGCATTCTGGTTTTGGGCGTTTTCATCCTTTTTGAGCTGATTTCTTCCCATCTTTGTGGATTTGTCTACCTGTGGTCTTTTTAGTTGGTGACTTTCAGGTGGAGTCTCTGAGTGGATATCTTGTTTGTTGCTCATTAAGTAATTTCTTTCTGTTTCTTAGTTTTCTTTCCAACAGTCAGGTCCCTCTGCTGTAGGACTGCTGGAGGTTCCACTCCAGACTCTGTTTCCCTGGGGATCACCTGCAGTGGCTGCAGAACAGTGAGGGTTGCTGCCAATTTCTTTTTCTGCCATCTGTGTGTCAGAAAGATACCCGTCGGATGTCAGCCTGAGTTCTCCTTTATGATGTGACTCTTTGGATATATGGGGGTTGGGAAGCTGCTTGAGGAGACAGTCCATCCCTTATAGGAGCTCAAGTGCTGAGCTGTGAGCTCTGTTGTTCTCTTCAGAACCTCTGGGCACGTACTTTTAAGTCTGCTTTAGAGAAACTCATAACTGCCTTTTTCTCCCAGGTGCTTTGTCCCGGAAAGGTGGGGTTTTATTTATAAGTTCCTGTCATGCTGCTGCTTTTTTTCAAAGATACCCTGCCCAGTGAGGAGGTAGCCTAGTCACAGTCTGCCAGCAGAGTCATTGCTGAGCTGTCATGGGCTCTTCCCAGATGCTCTGTGAACTTCCTAGCAGTTTTGTTTATCGGGGTATAGTTAGAACTGCCTTGGTATTGGCGGTCTGTCTCAGTAATGGTGGACTGTCTGTGTAATGGTAGACTGCCTCAATAATGGCAGACTGCCTAGGTAATGGTGCACTGCCTCAGTATTGGTGAACTGCCTCAGCAATGGTCCAACTGTGCTTGCTGTGAAACTCTGAATCCAGAACATTTCAGATTGCTGGTCTTTGTGGGGGAGAAACTGGCTGAGCCAGTTCACCTGGCTCCCTGTTTCAGTCCTCTTTTTTTCAATTGAATGGGCGACTCTGTCTCCCAGGCATTCCAGTCACCAGTTGAAATGGCGACTGGATTTGTGTGAGTTTTTGTGCAGAGACCCACTGTGCAGGCTGAAACAGCCATTCTGAAGACTCGTGGCACTTTTCTGCCTGGGAATTTCCTAGTCTGTGAGCAGTAAAAATTCATTTGGAACTGCTGTCATTACTCACCTTCTGCATTTTTGCTGGGAACTGCAATCCAGAGCTGTTCCTACTTAGCCATCTTGGATCTGACCTCCGAGAAGAAGAAATAAAATCTTTTATGGACAAACAATTACTGAGAGATTTCATCACCCCCAGACTGGCATTACAAGAGCTCCTGAAAGAAACACTAAAAACAGAAAGGAATAACAAGTACCAGACACTGCAAAAATGTACCAAATGGCAAAGTACAATAACACAATGAAGAAATGGAGTCAACTAATGGGCAAACAAACAAACAAACAAACAAACAAAAACAGCCAGTAACAAAATGACAGGATCAAATTCACATGTAACAATATTAATTTTGAATGTAAATGGCCTAAATGCCCCAATAAAAAGACACAGACTGGCAAACTGGATAAAAAGTCAAGACTCATCAGTGTGCTGTACTGAGGAAATCAATCTCATGGGCAAAGGCACACATAGACTCAAAATAAAGGAATGGAAGAACATTTACCAGGAAAATGGAGAACAAAAAAAAAGCAGAGGTTGCAATCCTAGTCTCTGATAAAATAGACTTCAAACCAACAAAGAACAAAAGAGACAAAGAAGGGTATTATATAAGGGGAAAAGGAACAATCCAACAATAAGAGCTAACTATCCTAAATATATATGCATCCAACACTGGAGCATTCAGATACATAAAGCACATTCTTAAAGTCCTAAAAGGAGATTTAGACTCCCACACAATAATGGTAGGAAACTTCAACACTCCACTGTCAGTATTAGACAGGTCAATGAGACAGAAAATTAACAAGGACATCCAGGACTTGAACATAGAACAGGAACAAGCAGACCTAATATACATCTACAGAATGCTCCACCCCAAACCCACAGAATATACAATCTTCTCAGCAACACAACCCACTTACTTTAAAATTGACCACATAATTGGAAGTAAATCACTCCTCAGCAAATGCAAAAGAACGGATATAATGAACAGTCTATCAGAACACAGCAGAATAAATTAGAACTTAGGATTAGGAAATTCACTCAAAACTGCAAAACCACATGGAAAATGAAAAACCTGCTTCTGAGTGTTGACTGGATAAACAATAAAATGAAGGCAGACATAAAGATGCTCTTCAAAACTAATGAGACTGAAGACACAACGTACCAGAATCTCTGGGATACATTTAAAGCAGTGTCTAGAGGAAATTTTATAGCAATAGATGACTACATGAAAAGTGAGGAAGGATTTAAAATTGTTGCTCTATCATCAAATTTGAAAGAGCTAGAGGAGCAAGATCAAACAAACTCAAAAGCTCACAGAAGATGAGAAATAACTAAGATCAGAGCACAACTGAAGGAGATACAGACACAAAAATAACCTTCAAAAATCAATAAATCTAGGAGCTTGTTTTTTTAAAAAAGATCAACAAAATAGACAAACCACTAGAAAGACTAATAAAGAAAAAAGAGAAGAATCAAATAGATGCAATAAAAAAACTATAAAGGGGACATCACCATCAATTCCACAGAAATACAAGCTACCATCAGAGATTCCTAACTCTATGCACAAAAACCACTAAATCTAGAAGAAATTGATAAATTTCTGGACACTTGCACTCCTCCAAGACTAAACCAGGAAGAAGTTGAAATCCTGAATAGACCAATAACAAAGGCTAAAGTTGAGGCAATAATTAATAGCTTACCAATAAAAAAAAAAGTCCAGGTCCAGACGGGTTTCTTGCCTAATTCTACCAGGTGTACAACATGGAGCTGTTACTATTCCTTCTGAAACTATTCCAAACAATACAAAAAGAAGGACTCCTCCCCAACTCATTTTATGAGACCAACATCATGCTGATACCAAAACCA